TGCTACGATCTGATCCATGATGCTCTCGACACCTCGATGCCGCCCTAGCAGCGAGCCCGAGGAGATTGACGGCAGGCTTACCCTGATCGGCACCAAGCGTCTGGAAGCATATGAGGTTGTCAACAGCACTGACGACGAGGTCTTCCACTTGGATCTGTATGAGTGGTACATCCAGCAGGGCTGGGCTGACCGCCTTCTCAGCATTGACTCACCACATGTCATCACATTCCTACAGAGGCTGTCAGCCACGAGCGCCGATCACGCCGACCTTCTTTGCAGGTTTTACATCACAAAGGGGTCGCTACTTTGAAGCCGCCGAGGTGCAGGCGGAGCTTGCTTGCTCAGACTTCAACCTCGGCATCAAGGAGAGGGTCACACTTTTGTCGCACGCCAAGGCAAATGCTCAAGTACGAACGACTGGCATCAGCTCGCAGCAGCAGCAAATCCTCATTCACAGCATCACCGCGAGCCTCGATGTTGCTAACATTCAAGCCGACCTCCTGCAGCGCCTGAACGCGGACCCCCGCGTGGAAGAGAGGAAAGAGGAGATTGACCAGGCCCTCAACGGCCAGGTACGCGATGTCTCAGAGGTAAGCAGCAACTACTCTTCGTGGCAGACAGCGATTTACTGACGCCAAACAGCTCTTCAATAACTATGCGGATCAGGCTGGCTATTTCGACATCTGCCTCTTGATTTACCATGTTGCCGACTACCGCAACTCCACCACTGTGGAGACGACGTGGGCGTCTTTGATCGAGCAGACACATGATGAGGCCACCAGGAGGATGCAAGAGGCCGGTCCTGGCATCTCGGCACTGCTCACGCCGTACGAGTCTGTCTCACAGAAAGTTCTAAATATTGCTCATCGGGTCAGCCTCGACAGCTTCGTGTTTCCTATTAAGTTCCTCGTCGCGGCCCTCAGTCGATACTCGATCGAGTATGGCCAGGACGGACAGATCGGCGCCAACCCTGTGTGGCCCATTACCATCTTCTTCGAGCTGAAAGTGTCACATATCACGATTCTCAACGCCTTGGAGGATATCTTCAACGCCCAAGATGTTGGCTTCACGGGCAACAACCGCATTCGCGTGATCGAGCTCATCGTCTATGTTGTGGACAGCTGGCAGAAGGAATGCAAGCGCCGAGCCAACTCGACCGCCCGTGGCGACGCCGTCTGGCAGTCAATGAAGGAGCTTCTCGACTCGTGTGAGGAGGCCCTGCCCCCAGCTTCGATGTCTATGGGTAATCTGAACCCTGGTGGCGCGGACGTGGCCGACATCCGCCGCGAGGTGCGCACCGTTCGACGTGAGGTCGAGGCTCTTTCCGACAGAGGCCCGGCTGGAAGCATGCGCTTCCTGTAATGAGTGGGGGCAAGGAGGTGATGTCTGGCACAGCGAACAGACGAGGAAACACTGGAGATTGTTGCGTGAGTTGCCTGCATTGCATTGTACATAAATGAGCTTGGCGGGATGAGCTGAAGGCCAGGTTTGGTTTGGGCCGGCTCTGTAAGTTTGGAATGAAAGGATACCTTTGCCTATGTTGCTCATTTCTCTGCTGCCTCGAACAGTGGTTCCCATCAGAGTCGCAATGACACACGTAACAGCCTACATAATCTTTGTGGTACCGGAGACTTGGTTACGGGCGTCACCCCAGTAGCCTGTAATTGCAAGCCTAGCACATGAAGGCTCAGGCTTGGCTCGACCTTTCAGCCTACCAGTTTCGGAGATCATCCAAACTGAGCTTGCCGCACCACCGCTGACGCGGAGGTGCATGGATCAACAGTCACCAGGGCACATCCATTGGAATTTGATCACCTGTCATCCCGTCATACACCATGTGTTGCCTGAGTCCAGACAACGTTGTCAATCTTGGTCAAAGATCGAGACGACGTCACTTTGAGGGGCTGAATGAGATGCATCAAAGAATAATTTATCTCCAAACACAAGTATCTGAATTGCAGCACAATCTTTTTACACTGAATATACCTTGAGACTGCAAGGCAAGTACTTGATTGCACACACTCATCATGTCGACGCAGCCGCTCCTAGGAGCCATATCGGGCCAGCCGGGCAATAGAGATGAAGACAGGGGCCAAGTCAGTGAGCCGCTACCCACCATCTTTCGTTGAGCCTAACACCTACTGTAGTCAGGCAGCTTAGCGACCTTCCTTTCTATCTTTCATGGCGGCCTCGTCGCGCCAGACTCGACGACACTCGACTCGCTCCAGGCCATCCTCAATGAGCCCGACGACGCCCTCCGTGACGACCTCACGGAGCGCTGGCGCGACCACAAGCTCCAGGAGCTCAACTTTGTTGGCACAGTCGGCGCGCTCCTCGCCGCCTGCCTGAGTTCTACGGGTTCGTGGCCCGACGTCCTCGACAACGGACGCAAGCAGCCGTGGAGCATCCGCGCGTGCTGGTACATCGGCCTCGTGTTCGCGCTGTTCGCCGTTCTCACAGCGCTGCAGCAGAGCCTGCGGCTGCACCGCCTGAGCGCGCACCGCGAGGGACTCATGATCCGGAAGAGTATGATGGGCGGGAAGAGGGATGGCGAGGTGAGGGTCAGAACTTGGCAGGTGTATGCGTGGCAGGCGAGCTTGGTATTTCTGGTGGCGGCTGTTATTTGCTTGATTGCGGGGATTCTCGTGCTCGTGTGGGTGTCGACGGAGTTTGGGCCGGATAAGAAGCCAGAGGATGGCTGGTGGGACGACAGTGCCAAGGTATTCTTTTCCCTCTCCAGCTTCCCTTGTTCAAGAGACTGACTCTTCGTACAGATGGCTATCACGTTCACCGTTGTCGTGGTTGTATCTTTGATCATGTTTCTGTTGACTCAAGCGACACTGGCTATGGAGGGTATCAAACGGTGATCAGACCAAGTTGTATTCACGGGAGGCTATTTCATACGCTTCCAAAAACTGTGGTAGCACTTCTGCTGTGCCGGTCTTGCAATCACCGTCAATTCTATACTTACAGCTTCATATCCCATGCACATGACAAGCCCAATCCATCGCTCAGATCCTACCAACTGTGTTGTCCACTGGACGCACTTGGTTAGCTATCGTTTTGGTCAATCTCTAACGGACGCTCTTCATTCCGTGCGTCGACGATTCTCAAAAGCTGCGCAACAGCTGCCCCATCCGACGAGAGGTCGCTGATCCTATCTGTACCTATGCAGATGGGCTTCCAGTTGTTAATCACAGCTTGAATAGGTTCTTGGCCATGGCGTAACGATTCCTCAAGTAGACTCAGAAGTAACTTCTGACGGTCTTGGAACAGATTCGCATGGTAGACAGCAAACTTCAGCTTCTGATGCTGGTGCGCCAGTTCCGTCGCCACGTCATTAAGAAGCAAGTCCGATACGGTAGCCTCGTGGCCTTCTTTCTTGAGCCTTTTTGTCAAGCGAAGTAGTTCGGTGTCCTTTTCGTAAAGGGCTCTGTTCTTTCGGTCAATCACTGCAAGATCTGACATGACTTGGTGGTCTAGCCCCCGAATGATCTCTCTAGACTTTTGAAGCATCCTACGCTGGGTCTCTATCGCCTTTTCTAAAACGTCTGAGCGACTTCGAGAGGCCTTGCCATTGGCGGCAAAATCCGCATATTCGGTAACGGCATGGGGCTCGTCGATGGCCTGTTGGTGGGGGCCTCTGCCAGCGTCGGCTATGTCTGCACTGTTGAAATCCAGGGTTGCCAATGATATTGTGTCAGACATGATTTTGTTGTGATTTGACTCAGTTTCTGCCGTTGAGCAGCATATGAGCGGGACTGACACTAATGTAAGAGATGTGCTGAAGTTGAGCGACCTGAGGTCGGATGCTGTGAAATCGTTGTTCAGACTGAGAAAAGAAATGTGGTCTTGCAGCCTAATCCCGGTGCAGCGTTGTCCTGGCTGTATGAAGGACGGGAGGATTAAATAGAGGCCCAGAAGGTGGTGCCCTGACAACAAGGCTGCTCAGTATGTGGGCAGGACTAAGTTGTTGTAATATTTTTTGTCACCGTGTTTCGAATTCAACCATCTCGAGTGAGAACAAGAACAATGCCTCATATAAGCTGTCACCAAACGACTGATCCCCTATCGACTCATGGCGACAAAGGACATTGGCTTGTGTGAAAGCAGACGTCTTGTGGTCTGCCGGTTGCATGATTTGTTTCCCTTGCCTACCATACGGCTTAGGAGAAACAACTTCGAGATACCATAGCTGCACGAGCGAAGGTTGGTCAAGATGATGCTTTGAAACCAGGAAAGACGTCGACCTTTTTGAAATTGGCTATTACAGCAATCATAAGCTGAGTTAAACAACCGGAACTCCGAACAACAAACCCGCTTAAACCCCTCAACACCCGAATGTCAAAAACACTGCTGGCGCCCTTGTCAAGAAGACTGCTTCATACAAGCCAGGACTTTCAGATATCTCATACGGTCGTTCGCAAACACTAATATCGTCAGGAATCAGTCAGTCAGACCTTTCGTCTTGCAACAGAGTAAGCTAACGTACTAGGAATGCTCGGACACAGACAATTACTTCTCATTTCGCCGTGACACACGCGTCTGCTTTCCGAACATCTCTCGCAGACTGGCCATCTCGGCTTGCACTTGATGCAGCTGCGTCCGAATCTGATTACACTCGACGCAGTCCTCCTGCGTCGTCGGCTGTCCAGACTCACTGGGTGCCCTCGTCGCATGCCCCGATGGACATCGATATGACCCGTTGAGAATTGAAGCATGTGACGGGCCAGCACGTTGCTGGTCCTTATCTTTGGTGAATCGTCGCATGCTACTCTCCAGCTGAATGGAGAAGCTGTGAGAGGGTCTCGGGGATGTGGGACTCGACGGCGGGAAGTGGCCGTTGGTCAGGGGTCTGCTGGGGCTAGCAGGCTGCAGCTGGTGGTCGCTCATCGTAGGCATGCTGGCGGCCATAGGGTTCCACTCATTCAGTCCGGGGGGGGGCTGGGGGGGCTTGCTGGTTTGCTTCAGGTCGATCGATGGTGAGCTGGATATATCGCATACGGAGCGGATTCCAGAGAGGTTTGAAGACGAGTTTGCAGGATCAACCAGCACCAGCGTCCGCGTCCCAACGGTCAGAGATGGAGATGGTCTGCTAGGGATCTCGTGATGGGAGTAAAGGGCCACTTAATTGGTGGAATAACCGCAGTGTTGAGGGCAACGCAAAGGACGCCCTGTGGCTAGGCCAGACAGACCCTTAAGAGATCCCCATGTTCCCCGCATTATAGGAGCATTCCGGGGCGGCGGGAGGAACAGATCGCGTGCGACGCAGCATCGAAGACCGATTCCCCGCGTGGTCGCGCCCCTTTCTACCGAAGTGGCGTAGAGAACCAAGTGACGAGTCATGCGCCGGAGTCGACGATAAATTCCACACCATCCGTCGTAGGATGCGCATGGGCGGGAGATGCTGCGATGCCTTTGGTCTTGCGAAGTCCAATGCGATTCGAAAGTGGATAGAGTTCTGTTTTGATCGTTCCGTGCTGCGAGAACCTGGCAAACTAAGATGAATGACAGGAAATTACACCGCAGCCAACCTGTAAGTCTTGAACCCTATGATGTTCGTGGGCATACGTGGACTGTTCGTGGTGAATTCACTGTTGCGAGACACATTCCTCTGGTCAATAGGCAAAGAAATATATCGTGGTATGAGGTGATTTATCCTTACATGATTATTACCTACCTATCTACGTTTCACATACGGCACCCGCACTTCGTCCATGCACAATGCGTACGAGCAGCTTGATAGAGTAGACATCCAGTGCGCCGTTCAAGTTCGGCATTGGTAGTGCTGAAGTAGCAAAGATGTAGCCTGAGCTTGAAGTCAGAAGAGATCATTCATCTCTGACAGATCTCCTAAGAAATTTTGAGGGTTCGTCGGGAGAACGGCCTTCAGGACCAGCCTCTCAACAGACTATACGGTAATTAATCAATAGTCAATGAAGTGAAAGCTCATACTGTGCTCCTATAGCATTGAATATCCTGGGCCGCGAATGACAGCTCAAGTAGTGGTCTGTCCTCGTGAGACTGGCGTGCCTGACATCGACTGAACAGTTGGAGGTCTCCTGACCTAAGTGTTGTTTGCTTCAAGCGGGTACAGTCTGAGGCTTCTCAAAGATTCTAGCTGGATGATATCGCTGTAGATTCCCAAACCCAATGTCCTGAGAGTTGGAGCTCCAACTCGGAAAATTACGTGATGTACAAGATATTGTAGAACAACGGCGCTGAAAGGAAACCTCGCCGCGGACTGATGAGAGCTTCTCGGCAACTCTAGCCAAAGTCAGGATAAGCTGATCGATCTCCGGCTTATGAAAGCACCCTAAACAGTCCAAGCATGTTGCTTGAACTATCAACCGAGGGATCGACAAAGAGCATGTCCTGTGACCAAGTCGTGCTCACACTGGCTCACCTCGCTCGGCTCGCAGCCGATTTGGAGGGTAGCAACGAAAACTGACGTACAGGGGCGCTCGGGTCGAAGGCCAAGCTATGGTGAGCCCTGGAAAACAGGACGCACAATGCAGGCCCTGGCGCGACGCTGTACTTGTACTGGCTGAGCTCTTGGGAAGGGTTCGCCCGCGATCCCGCACTGCACCCCGTCAACTGAAATCGTAAGCCTACGACGGGCCGCTCCATCCGATTTCTTGGTACCAAAGTACCTGCGGTGTGGTACCTTCCCTGACCGGACTCTCCACCCCCTCAATCCCGACCACACCTCGCCAGGAACACCAGCTTCCCATCACACCCTTCCAGATTCCACCAACCCCTCATCACCATGTCGCGCATATGCAAGCGCCTTCGTTCGGACTATCGGAGCAATTCTACGGACGGATCACCGACACCTGCTTGTGCTAGCACTGCACTGACGCCCCAAGGGAGGTAGATCTTATCCAGATTCTTCAACACCCGACCCAAGTTGGGGAAGCCTGCCCGACCAGGGATACCAAGAAACAAGCTCAGGGCTTCCGTTTCACATATGGACAGCAGTCGACATGCTTAATGGATCCAGAATCAACTCGAAACTATGGGCTCGCCTGGATAATTGCCATCGCGACAAGAGATAGAATGCCATCTGCAACTCTCGTGTTCTGATTTGGCGAGACACCTTCGTGGCTAACTATGGAGACGAGCTGCCACAGGCCATGCGAGGAAATCTGGATCCTCTTTCTCACATTCAGCTGCGGCGGCGGTACGTGAGCCATGGCAGCATCGTCACACCCTTGCCTCGGATCCGACGCGAGAGCCGACCGGTGACGAGCAGGGCACTTGATTGTGATGGCTGTCGAGCGACTCGTGGAAAAATCCACGGCTCCCAGTTATCTATGGCAGTAACGATGTGCCGAAGATCACATCTCGCGCCTTGCTTTCTGCATCTCATGGCACTTCGGACGTGTTCAAAAGGGAGCCTGGTCGCCCACAAGAGAAAACTCAGGGATCCATTAGTCGGCACAGCACCGGCAAAACCTTGTTCGGCTGCCTGGTCTCTTTCTTTTGACTGCTCGACAAACGCGTAATACATCATCATGAAGTCGCCTGCCTTTGCGACGATTGTCGCCTTTGCCCTCGGCACCGCAGCCGTTCTGGCTCAGGGCGATCCAGCGCCGAAACCTCCCAGCTCTCGGCTCCGTGTGATTCTCAACCCCGCCCGCGTCCGGGCCCTTGACGAGCCTGACTTCAAGCTGTGGACCATTACCGGCGAGCCCAAGAGCGTCTCTACCACCTTTGGCGACACTTCTATCACTGTCGCTGCCGCCAACTCCACCATCGCGGGCGCGTCTTACAAGTGGCACTACACTCGCCGCGTAGCGCCGTTGGGTGAGAGGGTCGTGGCCCAGGGCATCTCGACGAACACCGACGATGCGGGCAACAAGCCTATGACCATTTCCATTACGGGACTTCCAGCCGGCGAGCACTCGCTGCTTACCTGGCACAACGCTTGGGACAGCCTGAAGGCAGTCGCATCTCTGACCGTGAAGGTCAACGGCGAGGCTGCGGAGACGGTGCGCTGAGCCTCTATGATATGATCCTCGGATGTGGCTAATTCGACTCAGCTTGCCCAATCAGTGCGCGTGGACAACATCTGGGAATCTGCTCATTCTTTCGTTCAATTCACTGTTTCTGGTGCAAACGATACAACCAACATTGAGTTCATACCTGCCGGCGCCGACGGCCGTGTCTTCCTCAACGGCTTCGAAATAGATACTCCCGACATCGACAACGTCGTCAGTTTCCCGGAGCCGAACAATCGCGACGAGCGTGTCCAGCTCGAGGGCGGTGACACTTATGAGGCATCCTGGCGGGCCCCCGATGCCAAATCACCAAAATACAATGTCTACATTGGCACGTCACCTACAGAGCTGAAGAGCTTGGCCTTGGGTCTGGACAAGACATCGACCACGCTTGACGGTGAGTTCTTCCACTACCCAATCCGCGAGCGCTTGATTGACAAAAGAAAATAAGGTCTTGACGTCTTTGGAACGTTCTATTGGCGCGTGGATGTCGTTCAAGGGGGCGAGACCTACATCGGTCACGCTTTCATGCTACGTGGCGCACAGTTGGCGTTCCCTGGAGCTGAGGGTTACGGGTGGGTTCTTCACAATATCCTTCCATGGCCTCGCTGACCATGGAATAGGCGTTTCGCTCGAGGCGGTCGCGGTGGTCGAGTCATCCATGTCACCAGCCTTGAGGATAGCGAAGAGGAGGGTACTCTGCGCTATGCTCTGGCCGTTGCTCGAGGTCCTCGTTACGTTGTTTTTGACGTGGGAGGCGTCATCACCACCACGTCTCGCATGGTTGTTAGCGACCAATATGTAACAGTCGCCGGCCAGACGGCTCCTGGGAAGGGTATCATCGTTCAGGGGCACCCACTGGGCCTATCTGGTGCCATTGATACCATCTTCCGCCACATCAAGGTGCGGCCCGGCACGGTCTCTGGCGAGACAGTCGATGCTATGGGCATGGCGGGCTCCAACCACTGCATCCTGGATCGCTGCTCCATGGTTAGCCATCATTCTGCTGCTGGGTAGTGGTTATACTGACCAGTGACAGGGATGGGGTATTGATGAGAATTTTTCTTCTCGCAACGCGGCCAACATCACCTTCCAGCGCAGCATGATCTCCGAACCTCTGAATGTCGCCGGTCATAAGAACTATCCGCCCGGCCGGGAGCACGGATTCGCTGCGACGGTCAGCGGTAACGTCGGCTCTTTGCACCACAACCTCATTGCGCACGCCGAGGGTCGCAGCTGGAGCATGGGCGGTGGTTTGGATGACGAGGGCAAATTCGGAGGGCGTCTAGATATTCGTAACAATGTCGTGTATAATTTTGGTGAGTACTTCACTGCTATGATACAAAACAGCACACTAACATCATCAGGTCGCCGTGTCACAGATGGCGGTGCGCACGAGGTCAACTTTGTCGGAAATGTCTACAAGCAGGGCCCTGCCAGCAATCTCACTTATGCTCTGCGTGCCCAGTACGAGAACCAGCTGCCCGGCCAGCAACAATACTACTGCGAGGGTAACTCCATGCCTGGCGTCTTCGACCAAGACTCGGTGCAATACGCATCTCCCGATGGAACGGGCTCCAACAAGAACGTCGCCTGCTGGGCCGATGTGACAATTAGCCCGGCTCCCTCTTACCGCAAGTTTTATGATCAGCCGTACGTGCACCATCTTGACCCTTGCATCGTCATTCTTGTCTAACTTGATCAGATTCTTTCCCTCGTATGTCGAAACACAGCCATCGACCGAGGCCTACAAGCGTGTCCTCTCTGACGCTGGAGTCAGCCAGCCGGTCGTTGACAATCACGACTCTCGCATCTTCAACGAGACACTCACGGGCACCTACACGTACAAGGGCTCCAAGTCCGGCAAGCTCGGTCTCATTGACAACCCAGCGGACGTAGGTGGTCTCGAGGATTTCCCCACCGTCACGCGCGAGGCTTCCTGGGATGCCGACGGCGACGGCATCGCCGACTGGTGGGACGGTTCCACCGGTGGTGATGGCTATGAGCCTATCGAGGGGTACCTCAACTTCATGGCGGATCCCCACGCGTATGTTGCACCGGGCAAGTCTGTGATTATCGACCTGAAGGATCTCTTCCGGGGGTTCGAGAAAAAGCCCACATTTACTGCGGCGGGGGCAGAAAAGGGAAGCGTGGGAGTAGAAGGGTCGTGGGCCACATACACCGCTGGTGATGAGGCTGGTATCGACTACATCGAGCTGACGGTCAAGGACAGCGAGGGAGGCAGCTGGACGAGGACGTTTGGCGTGGCCGTCTTTGAAGGGGCACCGGCTTCTGGACCTCCCAAGTGCCGCAGGGCAATGCAAGTCTGAGATGTAGTTAGGGGAGGCGAAGTGAGCACATCGCGGTCATCATCCCGGCAGTTGCAGCATATAAGTCGGCGAAAAGGGGCCCATTCCAAGACCCTGTATTTCTGTCGTTCTAAGTGACAACAGCCCTGTTCCTAGCAACTCTCATATTCACGCCCCAGCTGCATAAGGGCTCTTCTTCCTCAACCCTTCGCCAAACCTCCACAGCAGCCACGGGCCAGGCCACCCGATAACAACACCCACGCCCGCCAGCACCGTGTTTCCCCATCCGTACCCCAAGCTCGCGTAGACGTCCGGTCCGAACAGCGGGAAGCCAAACCCCGCCAGGCTCCGGAGCACAGTTGCCGCGCCGACGGCACTCGCGGCATATCGCGTGTACGAGTCGACGAGGAACCCCTGCACGCACTGAAAGCCGATAATGGTGCCCATGGCAAACAGGGCAGCGCCGACGTTGGGGCCCATCCAGTGCGTGCGCGCCTCGGCCGTCCACCCGTACACGAGCAGGCCGGCCGGCACGAGCACGGCGCCGGGCACCATCATGGGCACGCGAAATTCGGGGCGGCCGACGCCGGCGCCGCGGCGGCGCTTGACCAGGGCGTAGACGCGGGTCCTGTAGGGGCGCGCACAGCTGGGCGCCGAGGAAAAAAGCCGACGCCCGAGCGAGAGGTTATTTGAGCCCCCGGGCGACCGACGGGCTTGGTGGTAGTAGACGTCTCCCAGAGGGCCCGGGAACGTCGAGAGAACGAGGTACATGAGCCCGTAGAGGTACATCATGTAGAGGGCCCAGGCACTGGATGATGAGTTGCGTCGCGAGCAGGCGGAAGGGCCGCGTCAGGGCCGTGGCGAGTGTGGCGCGTACGGTGCGGTCCGGGTGGTCAAACTCGGTGTGGAGGGCCTCGTTGCCCGTTTGCTTCATGAGGCGGGCCTTGCGGCGCGCGAGGAGGACGGGCGTGAAAGTCTCCTGGAGCACAAAGAAGCCGACGGCCTGGATGGTGGCTGTGAGGATGGTCGTGCTGTAGAAGATCCAGCGCCACGTGGTCTCCTGCGTGACGTAGCCGCCGGCGATGGGACCGAGGGCCGGACCGAGGAGCGGCGTCAGGGAGTACATGCCCATGGCGCGACCGCGCTCCTCGGCTGTGAAGAGATCGCTGAGGACGCCGCCGCCGATGGCCATGGGAGCGGAGCCGCCGAGTCCGGCCAGGAAGCGGAACGCAATCATCTGGCCTTTGGTCTGGGCCAGGCCACAGCCCAGGTTAAAGAACATATAGAAGAGATTTGTCAGTTGCAGGACAATGATGCGACCGTAGAGTTCCGAAAGAGGGCCCCATGCAAGGGGACCGAGAGCGTAAGCGAGGACGAAGATGGACATTGTCAAGGCCTGCTCCGTGGAGCTAGAAATATTCAAGTCTTGACCTATGCTCTTCAAGGCCGGAGCAACCATTGATGAAGAGACGGGGGACAAGAAGGTAAAGCAGGAGACTGCGGATCGTCAGTTACATCGAGGCCGAATACGCCAAGACATACTCACCACAAAAAACAGCAGCCCATTTTCGATGCTCCGACCATTGCTTCGGGTTATCTGCATCATGCGGTCGGTCCCACGCTACCAGGTTCGGGTCTCTCTCGCCCTGTTCTTCTTCTTCTGTCTTTGTTTCACCATCATGCGGGCCACAGAGTTCCAGATCCCGCCTGCTTTCGATACCGTCACGGACCTCCGAGATCGTCCGTGATAGCGTAGACACAGGTCTACTGCTGCGTCTGCTGCTTCGCTTTCCTGGTATAATCCTGACCGGCGAGGTATGGTTACTGTCCGAGCTCGAGCTCGAGCTCGAGTGTCGTGGCGTGGTTGCCTTCTCCTCGTTGGCCCGGGTATCGATTACCGACCGTATGGCCCGCTCTAGATGATGCCTCAACGTCTCGAGCGGAGGCTCTCTAGCCTCTCTTGGGCCGCCTTTCACATTTGGGTAACTGTTCAGATCTGGCATGACCTTCAAGCAAA